TAATAGGCTTTTGTTTTAATTTTTTATTTTCATTATTATAATTTTACTTTTGTAAATAAGATTTCATGTATATAAGATATCAATCCACCATATTAATATGAGCTGAAAAGGTCTAAACACCTGAACACTCTACTACTATATATTAAACAACTAAAAGTCCTATTGTTTTTAATAAACATAAATAAAAAATAAATAATATTATATTCCAAAAGAAAATTATAAAATCAAATATATTAATATTTATAAATAAAATTAATAACCAAAAAGAATAATAAATATAATAAAAATATTTAAATTTATAAAAAAAAATAAATATCTAAATGAATAAATAAATAAATAAATAAATAAATAAAAGTATAGAAAGACCTGACAAATACATCGGATTCAGATGGATCATTTATGTCTATATATAGTACTCATATAATAGTTTAAGTTCTTTTCATCATTCACATATAATGATGAACTAATGTTGTTAGCTTGGCTATTCATTTCTTACTTAATGTATTATATTTTTAGTTTTAAACAATAAACAATATAAACAAAAGTTAGAATGAGTTTTAATATTATAAATGCTTGACTTTAATTCAGGTTTGAGGTTATTTAGTTATTGCAACTATGTTCTATTTAATATAAGCCCATTCTAGATTACTCGTAATGGTGTTAGGACAGTAGAACTAATCAGTTTATGACTTCATAATTGATTTTAATTAATTGAAATAATATTCAATTGCCTAGACTTGTCTTCAATAAATTTATTTCATTCGCTTATTGCGTAGTGGAAACCGGTATGGGAACATAGAATGTAGCCCGTACCAATATTCCAGAATATGCAAAAGAATAATCAAAAAATTGAATATTTCATGAGGTGTTGAGAAACAGCTTAAAAGCACATCAGATAAAGACGTATTATTATGAACTTACACGTAAAACATTCATATTTTTTTTTTTTTTTTTATTTAATTTAAATTCAATATGTATTCTGTCACATAGTACGGTGACATTTTACAATTTTTTAATAAATACTATTTGAGACTTGATCATTTACAATTAAAGTAGTTCTCCCTGTAGAGAGCTACTCTTTTCTTTTTAATTTAAGATTTCTTTATAATAAAATTTGATTTTTATAATAAAATTTGAAGCGGCGTTTTCCTTTTCAGTCTCGTAAATATATTTGAGGGGGACATCAAATTCGAAGCTAGGATGTTGGGATGAATTTGTATTCGTTCATGGTATTTTCTAGCTACCATTTTTACTTCATCTCTTACCGGGATTATCCCAAGGTCCCGATGGATTTGAATGTTAGTTACATACCATGGGGCATTTACTATTTCCCGTAAAGTTTTAGATTGAAATCTTTGAAGAATTTCTATGTTGGATGTTGAGGCTGTTCCCCATAATTGAATGCCATAGGTCCATACTGGTTTTAGCACACTTTTATATAAAATAAGTTTATTCTTTAGGGATACTGAAGATTTTTTATTTAGTAGCCAAAACATTTTTCTGTATTGAATCCCAAGGGATTTCCTTTTGTTAAAAATATGCGTTTTCCATGTCAGACGTCTATCTAAGTGCATGCCCAAGTATTTAGCGCTATTTGATTGCGGAATTATTATATTATTAAGTTTAATTTCCGGGCAGGTGTCTTTTCTCATTGTGAATGTAACATGAGTAGATTTTGTTTCATTTGCTTTCATGCGCCAATACTGCAACCATTTTGATATACGATCAAGACCAGCTTGTAGTTTGAATGAGGCTACAGAGGGATCGTTTGCACTCGCCAGGATAGCTGTATCATCTGCAAATGTACCGGTTACAATTCCTACCGTCTTCGGTAAATTGTATGTGAAAAGCAGATAAAGGGTTGGACCGAGTACACTGCCTTGTGGTACTCCAGCTCTAATATCATGTAGAGAAGACATTTCATTTTCATTGTTGACATAAAAGAGTCTTTTCAATAGATACGATTTTATGAACGTATAATAGTTAAGTGGCAGAAGCTTTTTACATTTGTAAAGAAGTCCTTGGTGCCATACTCGATCAAACGCTTGAGATATGTCCAAAAACGCTGCTGAGCAGTATTCTTTTCGCTCGAAAGTGGTCTGTATTTTTTCAACAATTCTATGAATTTGCTCAATGGTTGAGTGTTTTCTTCTGAATCCAAACTGGTGGTTCGGAATTATTCGTTTCGACTCGATTACCGGCATAAGACGTTTTAAAAATAATATCTCAAGAACTTTTGAAAGAATGGGAAGGAGACTTACTGGACGATTGGATTTTACATCTTCAGCTGGTTTCCCTGGTTTTAGTATCATCTTTATTTCGGCAACTTTCCATTGATCAGGGATGAAACTTTTTAACAAGGATGCATTGAAAAGATGAGTAATAAATATTAAAGCAACATCTGGAAGTTTTTTAAGAATTTCAGCAGTTATGAGGTCATAACCAGGTGCCTTTTGATTTTTAAGAGATTTAATTGTAGAAATTATTTCTCGTTTTTTAAATTTCCTAATTGGTAACTCCATTTGGTGAGTTTCTTCTAAAAATTTTGAAACATTGACAAAACATTCATATGGGAAACATTCATGTTCCCCGAAGATGACTTTAGAAGCACGGTCCTAATAACTATAATTGCAAATCATTCTGAAACTGAATGTCAACTTTTTTGTGAGCTATTTAAATAAATTTTTTGAATAAATAGAACTAACGAATTGTTTATATAAAAAGAAAAGTTAATTTAATCGAGTTATTTTAAAAAATCTAAAAAAATCCTAAAATAATATTTTTAAAATTTAATAAAAATCAAATGATTAAATAAATAATACTTCAAATCATTTATAAAATCCATAAACATTGTTGTCATAAACATAGTTATGAAATAAACTAGTCTACTCTAAACATATAGCTATATTTATAAAGTCAGCAAATTAGTTTAGAAGTAATTTATATGTTATCAGTTTTTCTCATCTATTATAATGTACATATTAGCTTTTATATGAAAATAATTGAGTTGATATTAGAATTCAGTAATATGTTCAATAAATATATTACAACTCAACGTTAAGCTAAATTATATATTAGACATAAAATTTCCATATAAATCTAGGGTTATGTCTAACTGATACTCATAGTTTTATGAAATAAACATATTAAAAATTAAACTGAAAAATTTATATTATACATTATATTATAATTGAATACTTTCACTTATCCAAAATATCTCTAGCTATTATGCCATATCTTGATTTTTATATGAATTTTATTTATTTTGAAATGTGTAATACTGTATTTTTTGTTATTTGTTAAAAATAAACAAATTCTTAACTTATAAATGCATTAATTAATTAAAAAATCTGTCAATAAAAATTTAAATTTGAAAAAACAGCCCCAATTTTCTATAATTTAATTATTCTCTTCTGTTAAAATTTAGTAACTATATAACTAAGTTGTCAAAAAGAAAAAATATATTTATAACTACTTACTATTTAAATATATATTGTGCCACTTCTTGAAAACGTCTGGGCTCATATATTAAATAAATAGGCGTTTACAAGAGGTTTTTATAACACAATAAAATTAATATTACATTTCCAAAAACTTTTCAACAGGAGACATGGAAAAATTTTTGAAAATACATTCATTTAAAATAACAAATTTTTTATATTAATATGTAATTAATTTTACGTAAAATGAATATTCAACAAACATTTTAAATTTTGTTTATATAAACGTAATTAAAAAATTAATTATTTTATAACTATTTTTGAAATGATATAATTTAACGTCTTCTTTTTTATAGTAAAATTGCTTCCCACATTAATATATATAATTTTTTTTTATTATTTCACAAAATTATTACTAGTTTTTAAATTAAATTTATATGCAGCTATAATTGAATAATAATTATTTTATTATTATTAATTTATGTTATATAATTACTTTCATTTATGTAATAAAATGTAATTCAACAATTAAAAATTTATTTATTGCATTTATGTTGTTTAATTTAACCAATGAAAATTTCAAATTTAGCACAAAATCAAGGTACTTTTGGACTAAATTTTAAAAAATTTTAAGTTAATAACTAATTTATATTTTATTATACCACATAATTTAAAAAATTTTTCTTAATTACCACATAAAATGACACATTAAACAGACTTTTCTTCATAATTTTTTTTTCTAATGATAATATTTAGTAATATTTTATTTTCTTTCAAGTGTATTTAAGTATTTATAAATTGCCAAAAAATGTTGATCGACTTCGAGTTTAGTTTTAGTAAATAAATATTTTTTTATGTGTATACATAATATACCATAGTATACATATACATATATAGTAAGAGATTTTTTTAATAAATTTAAAATTAAATTGCTTATAAATTTAGAATTTTTTTGTTGGAATATATTTTATTTTGGTTTTATATAATTAAAATTTTCGTCTTTAGTTTTTAAATAAGCGTAGGAAAAAGTTTAAGAAGTAATTTAATGAATTCTTTTTTATAAAATTGTGTAGAAATATTTAAAAAATATTTTTTTTTATTTTAATATTTCAATGCTGTATGTGCTTTTGTAAGTTTTTTACTACATTTAAATTCGTTTTGAATGACATTGTTTCATTAATAAAACATAAAATATTCACTTGGATTTCTAATCTTTAAGATTTTTTCTTAAATCCTAATTAAGATTTTATTATTTAAGTTTGTCTTTAATTGTTTAACTACAAAATTAGGTCTTCAACAAAAAAAGAAACTTAGTTTAAAAAATTGTCGTAATAAATTGAAATTATTTTCGTTATTCTTAGTTACTTTTCATTAGCACACTAACCTACGTCTAAAACTATAAAAAAACCGTCCCATTACATTCTTTCTTAACTGATATAGCTTTCTTTAGTACAGCTTTTGAATTCTGCTTAATTAACCTTAATTATGATTGTTTTATGCATTTTTTCAATTAAATTATAAGTAATAATTTAATAAAACACTTGTTAATTGTTAATTTTTTTTTTACACTTAATTCTCGCCTAAATCTTTAATAGCTTGTAATATGCGTTTAACATGTCCTACCTTAATGACGCCCAGATCTTTTAAGTCTCTACGACCCAAAGTTAAAAGTTCTTTACCACGTATGTCATTTTTAAGAAAACTGTCTACGTATTCAGATAGCTGCATTGTCTCCAGCCAAGTGACGACTTCATTAACACTCCAATTGCTGACAGCTTCACGTGTATTGGTGAGCGGTGGTTTGAATTGCTGCTGACCTGCGGTGGAACCAGAACGCAGGCGCACCCAAAATGGACGAGACTTGCGTCGGCCATCACCCTAAGGGAAATTTCAATATTTTTTAAATAAATTTAAAAAAAAATTAAATTTTTTACCTCTTCATTTGGTGCTAAAACATTGAAGTAAGCTCGTATCTTGCCGTCAATACATTTTTGCACTGAACATTTTTTTAACTCCATTTCCATATTTGCTAGTGCAGCACTTAACTTTGTCTCGAGATCTTCACGCAATATTAAACTATGCCCACGATCTCGTAACAAAGTGCAAGCATCATCGTAGAGTTGCCTCGAAGAGTCAATAACTTCCACAAGCTTTGTTCTCAAAGTAGGACCCTCTAATAGTTTACCATTTGGGTGTATTGATTCCAAAGCCTCGGAAGCTCTACAGGCAACTGCATACAAATCATGTTGCAATGATGGATGTGAAATTATTAAGAATTTCACCCATTTCACTAGCGAACTGACGGCTTCTATAAAATTGAGCAATACATAACATTCACGTTCCGATATAACTTCATCGGTGGAAATTGCATGTTCCGAAGCAGTAGAAGATTGTTCACGCTGTATAGAAATACTATGTTGTCGTTGTTTCTCCTGCCAAGTCTTCAGTGATACTTCCAAATGGCGATTACGACATAACATTTGCACACGATTTTTGTGTAAAATACGTATCATACCAGGCGGCTGTAACCAAGCTTCACCATCTACTTGTATGGGTATTTCTTCTTCACCGAGTATATTGATTTGTACACTCTGACATTGTGCAATGCGATGATGTTGCAAATTGATTAAACGGGATGCAGCCATTTGTACAGACCCAAATACAGCGACTACTTCCAATATGCGATCATCAAAACTGGGTGATAAAAATATATCATCTTTTTTGGAGGTACCCCAGAAATTAGTGCCACCCATAAAACTAAGTAAAAAGTTACAAAACAAATTTTAAAAATCTATTGAAAGTGTTGAAGTAGAAAAACAAACCTTGGTATGTTAAGTATAACAATGCCCTGCAAAGAGGGCAATGGTATACGTTGACCGTCGCATTCCAATTGCACACGTTGCTCTAAGTTCTTACAGGTCTTTTGCAATAATTGCTTAGAACCTAAGACGCCATACCACATGTAGTTCTTGGCACGAGATCGACACTTTTCTGGATGTTCTTCACGCTTGTTATGAAAATCGAGTGATATCTTTGCATCAATACCAATGCCAAAATAATTATTCATAACACACTTTTCGTGATATCCAGCGAGTAGGGTTTCATCAGGATCCATAAGTGGACTAACAGCGGCACAAAGAGTATCTGCATTTGCCAATAAACATTTCGATATAAATCCAGTTCCATTTGTAAGATCTATAGTAAGTATAAAAATTTAATTGATAGTAATATAATGGTAATATTAAAACTCAATTCAATATATTATAACATATTATACCTATATTTTGTAATAAATAATTTAAGACTTACTTGGCCAATTTGGTAAGCGTACTAGTGGATTTATAATCGGTAATTTTTTGTTTGTTTCTTCGGTTGGGGTTTTTTCTTTATCCTTATTTTTATCGTCTTTTTCTCCACCGCCGAAATGATCAAAGCCAAATAATGTCGAGCCCATAAAAAGACTTGTTCTAGAACCCTTAAAGCTTTGTAGATTAGGCAACGCTTCATTAGGCTGTAATTAAAGAGTTAAGCAATCAATTGTTTTCAGAAATTAAATATTATATATATAAAAAAGAAACTTTTAGCTAAGTACAGTAGAGGAAAACATTTGTTATTTACTATAGAGTGTGAAAAGCATTTTTTACAATAACATAACGCTTTGAAAAATATAGTTTAGGCAAGGGAAGCGCACAGAAAAATAGAAATAATACTAATAGGCACTACAATAACTAAGTATACGAGTAGTTTATAGTTGTAGCAGAGTGGCTTCAGGTTTACGAGTTCCATTGTAAGTTAGATTATTTGTACAATATTTTAGTTGGGTTAGTTCTTAGACAAACTAATAATATGAAAGTGGTTTGTTTTTACAAGTTTAATGGAGCACAAGTACTAGAAATTACTTTGGAAATATTAGGGCCATCAAATTGGTAGTATATATTTTACGACAGCACGACATCTTTGTTGTTAGTTTTAATTTCTTACCAACGGTATTAGTGGTCTAATCATGGCCAATGTAGCCAAACGTATGTCCGGCTCCATGACCACAAAGAAACGCAAACCCAACAATCCGTAAGCGCGTTCCGAAAGACCCTTCGATTTTTTCTTCTATAAAGTTTAATTTATATATTATGTGCAAGTATCTATGTTTGTGTTGAGATTTATGTGTAGGTGCGTAATTGAAAACTTATAAATGCGAAAAATCTTATATAGAAAAAAGAAAGTATTTAAAGCATGTAAACTCTTATATCAATTATAATAATAATTACAATATATAATTTTGAAATACATACCAATTTTTGGTGCTAAATTTATTCATATGTTATATATATATATAATTATTTTTAAAATATTAATTTAATTAAATTTAAATAAATTTATATAAATTGAAAAAAATTAGAAATTAAAATTTTATTGTATGTAAGACTGTGTTGTTATAATCCGCTTAAGAGTAACTCTGCCTGCATCTCCGCTTATGTGGACGTGTAGTATACTAATGTACGCGTGGCCAACTATTTTGCTAGCTTACCTTAAATAAACTGCCACAACTGATTCTACGGCTAGCGGCTGGTGAACTGCTTAGAAAACGTGCATGCTCTGGATCAAGGCTCAACAAATTAGGATTGAAACCTGAATGTCGACGGTCTTTATCTTTGTCATATTCACGCACTGTTAAGCTGGTGGCATGACTTGAATGACGCCTGATTTCTGGCATAAGACGAGCCGACAGTAAACTGGCCGTAGCTGCTGAATTGACTGGCTTTATGGCATCTCCTCGTAATGGTGTTGGTGGTCGTACAACAACACTTATCTGTGGATAGTTTGGATTTACATCATCAAAGGATTCTTTTTTACAGGACTCATCAAAAGTTATGCGCTTTACTTCTTGTCCGTGTCCAGATTTCTTTGGTGAGTTTGATGCCAATGCTGATTCAGGTTTTGCTCCATCCACATCGATCCGTATAGCCGTATTTGTCGAGTGTTCATCTTCCGATTGTTGTCCGCTTGTACTCGTAATGGTGGTTATAGTTGTCGTCGAGGTAATAGTATCAATTGAAGTATGCTGTTGTGTCTTCAACTGTTTTAGGGATGTGCGTTTTTTTGGGCGCTAAATAATATATTTGGGGAAAGCAGAAGCAAATAATTATAAACAAAATTAATGTATATATTTGATTTAAATAAAATATTTAAATTAAAAGGGGAGAGCAATAGAAAATTATGCAGTATTGAAAATAAAGTAATAATTATTATCTTAAGATAAAGTGGGTGAAACCAAAAACATTAAGTAATGAGATTCAAAACAGTAAGGGACACATTTAGGTTATAAAATGGCAAATGGTATATAAATAATTATTGAATACATTTATCCAATAGCTCAACAAATTTTCTTAGGTATATTAAATTAGCTTATAATATACACTGGAAATGTTCTAAAATTACTGAACACAATATAATTTTATAAATTAATATGTTTTTTCATAACTATATAGAAGATCTATAAGTATATAGATCTTCATAAGTATATAGAAGCAAAATTTGTTTATTTGTTTTATAAAGCATCTTTAAGATCATTGAGATGCATAAAGAAGGGTGGAGTTCTTTAAAATAAAGTCTAAAACAGTAAACAGATCATTATGCTACTCAAAATTAGTTGCAATACGACACATTACTATTCTCATTATAATTTTATGAATATTATTCTAAGCCGTTTTAATTTTACGTAGAAATATTATTTTTTCAACAAACCTGTCAGAGGGGAAAAAAATTAAAAGACCACTGAAAATCTTTTCTTTTCGACTCCTTTTAATTTAAAAAAAATACTTTCTTTGCCGTCTTAAGAAGTGTGGCTATCGGCAAAAATAATTAATTATAAAAGATTTATAAAATTTGGATGTGTTTTACTTCTCTTTGAAAATGTTGTTAAAATGTACAATGGCAGGATAAAATAATAACATAAAATTCATATTGAGTTTTTATTCTTCATAGAAAGCTTCTTAAGAACTTTTTTATTACAACGATTTAATGATTTGATAAGTTAATTACAAAAATAATGCAATGCTTAAGTGAACAAAACAAAAAATATAACAAAACAAAAGTACAAAAACGAAGATTTTATATGATATTGATATGATATTGTTTGGTAGGATCATGCAATGGATTTAAGCTATTATCACATAGTATAATTTAATGCAACTTGTTTTGAAAGCTAGTGGAACACACATTTTATATTAACTATTTATGTACAGTAAATGCTAGGAAGTACAATAACAACTTACCTTGAAGCTTTGTCGCGCTATATCATTACCCTCCACGAATTGTGCCAAACTACAGTATCTCGGAGGCTCACGCATTTTCTGATCATCACAACGGTTATCAATTTCGAAAACAATGTTCTCAAAACCGAATTGCTGTGGATTTTCATCGCTATCCATACGATCAAGCCTCGGCATATGCGGTGGAGAAGAATTTCTTCTACGATGCGACATCGAAAGCGATTTTCTTCGTAATTGCAACTGTTGCTGTTGTAATGCTTTTTGTTGCTGTTGCTGTTGCTTAGCTTCGGAAGGTGCATGAGTCTCAGAGCAAAGTGTAGTAGTATCATCAGTAATTGTATTATCCTGTAAAGCATATGTAATATCATGTCCAAGAACTGAACTAATATCATCCATAAGACTTTCTCCAGGCATAGCTTCCGTTTCATCGCTTGTTTCTGGCGAATCGATGTGTGTAAAGGTATTGCTATCGACACCCTTTAAAGATAACAAACATTAAAAAAATTAAATTTTTTTTAACAAATACTTGACTTACATGTATAATGTCAGTGATTTGTAGTGCATGTTGATGCTCTACTTCAGTATTTTTATCGAATATCTCTGAAGCTACACTACACTCTTCATTACTTATGGCAGATAACACATCACTTGCTTCACCTTGCATATCGTCAGAAGATGACTGTTCCTAAAAGTAAATAAAAAACGGAAAAAATATGTTAAGCTCTTTGTACCGTTTAGTCAATGCACACTAAACAGACGTACAGTTAGCATATCTGTGTCAACGATTGTAATGGTTTCACTTGTGTAAACATTTGGGGCTTTGGGATAAACAACTATGTTGGGTACCTGTAGTTGACAAGTGTGCACTAATTTTTCAGGTTTCTCCTCAGTGCATTGCTTCTCTGCAATACTATCAGTACCCACGTCAGCTGAATCATCCTCAGTTGTAGCTGTAGCATTGTCAGCCAATTTCTTCTCTTTATCCAATTCTCGACTCATATAATAGTTACGCTCAAATACTTCAATTGGTCTGAAGTCGGACAATGGATCCACTATGTGGTCACTCGTAATAATAGGTACACTGAGAAAATCAATTTTGCGTTCGTTGATTATAGTCTCACTAGTGGGCGACAAACGATTACCGTCGTCATCAATGTTGGCACCGCCACTTAAGGACAAACGACCAACACGATAACCTACAGTTTCAACTCCACCATTGCCGCACTCTTCAATTTCTTGTATCACTTCTGGTACACCAGAACTACGTCTGCTGTCAGCGAATTGACGTGGTACTGGTAAACTGATTGTATTGAAAAAATTTTCATCCACAGAATCACGTCTGGTGTCCGGCAGGGGTGATATACATGTCAGCCGTGAAGTCTCCATGGTTGGAGATATTATGTTAATAGGTGGTATAATTGGTAGTGGTGAAGTACAAGGTGTTGAGTCATTTGAAGTGGTGGTGGGTATTTTGAGCGCTTCAAATGGTGTTATAGAGAGTTTACGTTGATAACGCTTTGGTCGTCCGGGCTCTGAATGCTCTACTACGTTGTATATAGCGCGTTTAACGCTATTTGCGCGACACTGTAATGCATCCTTCTCATTAGAACGTAATGAACGACTATTCCGACGTTCTTTTGTATTCAGTTGATCTTTTTCATTCTTTTCAATTGATATGTTGGGATTTCTGTAAAATAAAGTTAAAATTAAATATACAAGTATATTGATATATAAGAAGCTTACAGTAAAGTAGGAGTGGTAGTGGGTGAAGGTGTCAGTGTTTCGGGCGCACTTCTAGCAATTATGCTGCTGATTGTCGAGAGTAAGTCATCACCAGTGTGTACACCAGTTTCTTCCTCCTTCAAAGCATCTAATAACATATGTAGCTTTTGTCTTAAAATATCACATTTCATTATTAATTGCTCGTCATCTTTGCGATTCTCACAGATTTGTGACATTAGTTCATCAATTGTTTCACATAGCGTTTTAGTGGATGTAATTAAAGTTTGAATATCATCTGTTTCAACAATAGATCGTAAATTTTGATTGGCAGAAGTAACCATTCCGGTTAGCAGTGCCTCTTGTGCACTAGAAAGTGACATTTTTGGAGTTTTTGGCTGCACTGCTATAGCTTTTTCGAAAACCATTATACTCCAACGATCTAACATTTTAGTGCTCGCTGATTCATAACGTTCTAATATTTGTGGCAAGTGGGCATCATCATCACATGAGGAGCCCCAACCAAGAACACGTGCCAAATCGTTACCAGTACCAAGTGGAAGTACAGCAACTTGACATTGTTTCTTAAAAAAAAAAATCATTTTATGGTTATGTTAAATTATAAAAACTGCATTTACTTACATGCATACTAAAGCGATCAATTTCGCTTAAAACCCAACCGACCGAACCATCACCAGAGCACACCAATATTCGAAACATTTCGAAATGGCGAAATAGGCGCAAACCTAAACTGGGTCCAGTTGATATCAAATCAAAAACCTGCGCTGGATTGAGCAACTGTTTGAATCGGCGTAAAAACTTTACACCTTGATTGTCGCCTGATTTGGAGTTAACAAAAACCAGCAGTGGTGAAAAATTACCCTTTGGGCTGACAACATCCCATGCGTCATCGTTGCTGATTGAATGTATACTAGTCGGTGGTACAACTGATAGTTTTGCTGGCCCAATGGGACAGGAATCTGTCATTTGTGGTCTGCAGGCTACGTGCACAGTTGCGCGACACCATAAACAGCGCCAATCTTGCAGTCGTAGCACTGATCCACAAGTCTTTTTACAAATAACACAAGTTGCTGATACTGGTAGGTTGCCTTCCATCCATTGATGTGGCATTATAATGCTACCATCACGTTCTTCTATAATGTCTTTGCCTACGGTAGCTAAAGTTGTCCATTTGCAATTGGCAATTGCTTTGGCAGCGCATCGTTTGTGTACTTTACACTTGCACACTTCACAGGACAGGCCGTGTGAAGTGACACCTGACAGAGCATCACGGCACACATTACAATAGGTGGGTCTGGCATGTGATGTGGCATACCAGTGATGATGATTTGAGAGTATATCGTGCTGTTCCAAATAAAAGCTGTCGCCACGTGCTCGCGCAGGTATTGAAGCTGATTTTAACGAACTTAGCCAGTCTTCCATTTCGCGTCGAGATTCTGCGCACAATACCAGAGAACGAGTGGGTGTAATAACCTACAACGAAATATATAAATTATTAAAAAAGTTTTGGAAGCATTTTTGTGTTTTCTTTAATTCAATAATATTTAAGTGTTAGGCTTTTTGGAAAAATATTTCTCATATTATGCAAAAAAGTTTCTTCCAAGGTTATAGCACCTGGCAAGTTATACCTTGGTACATGTAACTTATTTAAGTGATAAATTTTAGTAGTGATTAACCTCGCAAAAGTCCTTATGATTATGTCAACTAATCCTTGACATCAGTGTAATTTATCAACTATGTTCAGCAGGCAGCGAACTTTAACAAGTGACAATAAAGATGTTTGACTGCTATTTAGCCACTTGATTTGGTGTGGCTTATTTGGCCACGTGTCGTCTTGAAGGACAATGTTTGATGAATTACATGTGAAGGTAAATTTTATAATTTACTCATTCTTCTTAATGAGTAAATGAAACAATGAAACTCTGAACCTAATTTCAACTTCACTTCTGTTAGCATTAAATGAATAAAGCGAATACAATTTTAATCAGATAGCAGTGGTATGAAGTTTGTGGCATTTGACTTAGTAAAAAGTAAGTAAATAGCAATTAAGCTTAACAAATTCATAATTAGAAGGGCAAAGTTAAAGCCGTTAAAATTTACTTTGTAATGAAAGCAAATTAATGAAATTTTTAGCAATTAGGATAAAATTTAATTTCAGTCACTTTGGTCTTTTTTAAAGGTTTATTAATTCTTTATTCTTAACGCATTGGTATTATAATTTAACTTTTTATAAAACAATTTTTAGAAAGTTTTCATTATTAGATGAATTAAATGTTTTCATGACCAAAAGAAATTTTCTTAAAAATAATTATTTCACGGGCTAATTGGTCAGTTATTGAATAATATTTTTTTTTAAAAAAAAAAAAATTTTATTATTTAGTTTTATAAGATTTTTATTGTTAAATATTTCGACTATAATCTATGGTCATCATCGGGGAACTATACATATAAATACATTGTAATTAATATTAAGGTATACATTACATAGAAACAATAATAAATTACATTTACATTGAAACATGAAACATACAAATGTATTTGGAAACTATAGAATACTTTGACTATAAGAATCATAAAAATAACATATATATAAGAAAAATATATTTATCTTCTTCCAGATTTGTCGAAGGTGTTTTTATACACCTGAGCACAGGTGTTCACTTTTGAAATTTAGTCTGGTGCCACTTGGAGTTTGAAGGATGTATAACATCTCTAAGAAAAAGCGTTTTTGTGAATGATTTTCTTGGTGTAACACCTTTATGTTATCAAGGTCTGGTTCATGTTTTGATGTAATGCAGTGTGATGCCAGTGCCGTTTTTGAGTTAATATTATTTTTATATTTGACACTGTGTTTATGTCCGGCTATACGCGTATTTAACTTGTTTTTTGTTGTGCCAACATATACTTGGTTGCATATGTTGGATCCATCACCTTTACATTTAATTTGATAAATCACATTGTGTCTATTCAAAGTATCTATTTTAGATTTGGTGTTCGAAAACAGCGTCTTCATCGTGTTATGCGTCTTATATGTAATTTTATATTTTTCTTTGCCATATATTGTGGAAGTTGTAATTTGATTGGAGAGTTTTGGGACATACACCATACTTTTATAAATTTGAGTATTCTGGTTTACAAAAGTAACCAAAATTTAATATAAAAAAATAATATAATGAAAAAATAAAAAATATTTGAAAATCTGGATATAAAATGAGCTCTCCAAACAATATTTTAAACTAGAGGGCCAGAGTTTGTTTAAAAAAATATAAGAGATATATGACTATTTTGTCAAGCAGATATTGCGCAAGAAGTATTATAGAACTGTTCTGAATTTTGCCAGTAATTTTTAGAAATTAAAAAGAATTCATTTAATTTAAAAGTATTCATTAAATACATATATTTTTTTTTTTATTTAACAATATATCTTTATTGAATCGCTTTAAATGAAAGCCTAACAATAAGTTTTAGAATCTTAAAGACTAATAACATTACATTAAAAATTATTTTATATAAACATACTATAATGATACATATAATGATTTGTAAATTATTTTAAGGGGCCTCTGAATAAGTAGCCAGGGCTTATTTACCAGATATCACGGTGTATAAGTTGAATTAATCAGGATGATCATTAGGAAAGTAGGATGGCGGGTTTATCGCTCCGTTTTAGTCTAGAGGAAATAGTCATATTAGCACGAGGTCTAGCCAGCGGATTCACATGGTTTTCAAGATTTGAAATATGTTTCTGCCTTATTCCCTCGAATTCGACTTTAACCATCGGAACTCTTAAATCGAAATGTATGCTTTTATTTCTGATATACCAGGGTGCACCAGTTATCATTCTTAAGATCTTTGCTTGAAGCTTTGAGCTTCATTTGAGTCCTTTTTGTTTCAATATGCTTTCGCCAAGTTAAGCGTTTGTCGAGGTAAATACCAAGGTACGTCACTGTTTCTGTTTGCGGAACTACTATTTCGTTGAGAGTGATAGTTGGTGATAAGGATCTGTTAAGAGAAAATATTATATGACGACATTTTTGCTAATTGACTTTAATTCGCCATAGTGATAACCAGCTTTCAATGGAGTACAAATGATTTTGCAGTTGACTGGAAGCGATTGCGGCATTCTTATGTCGGCATAAAATAGCAGTATGGTCAGCAAATGTTGATATTACTAAATTGGTATTTGTAGGGATATCTGAAGTAAAGATGAGGTACAAGAATGAACCAAGAACGCTACCTTGTGGAACTCCTGCACTTATTGGAAAGTCATTAGTTGTGTGCATATTGTACTTTACAGTAAAAGATCTGCCTATCAAGTATGATTGAAGTACTGCGTGTGAGTTTTGCGGGAGTACTTGTCGTATTTTGTGTATCAGGCCCTCATCCCATACTTTGTCGAACGCTTGTGCAACATCTAAAAAGACACCAGAGCAATATTCTCGATTTTAAAAGCACTTCTTATTTCGTTAGTTATTCTGTTCACTTGGTCGATAGTACCATGTTTTTGACGAAATCCAAATTGATGGCTTGCGATCAAGTCTCTTTCTTGGAGGAAAGGCATAAGTGCAAAAAATACTTTCTCAAATAATTTTGACAGAGAAGGCAGCAAACTTATAGGTCTATATGATGCGGCTAGTGTTGTATCCTTTCCGTGCTTTTGAACCATTATAATTAACGCTTTTTTCCATTCCGTCGGGATATGTCCAAATTTTATTATGGCGTTAAAAATCTTTGTAATGAATGAGATTGCTACGAAAGGCAGATTTTTTAACATAATTGGAGTTATAGAATCATGTCCATGTGCTTTTTCTACAAGTGGTGTAGAAATTTCGGCAGCTGAGGAGAGAATCATGTTGAATACTTGTACTACATCATCTACCTGGTATTTGTTTTAAATTTTGTAATTGGTATAAATGTGAGTACTTATGTATTTCTTAAATTTCAGCAAGTTGGTGTTTTGAGTTGTAAGTCTTTGTGGACCTTGAATTAGCTGGGATTCATGAACTATTAGGAAGATTGGAGAATGATCCGATGATAATTCATAACTTGCGTACACCGAAATGGAGTCACGACGAATACCCTTTGTTACAGCGAAATCAATAAAATCTGGGATTTTGTTGTTGTCTGATGGCCAATACGTAGGATGCCCGGATGATGCGACATCTGGTTTGTTGTTCTTGTTTGTTACCACATTAAAGAGTTTTTGACCTTTAGGATTGCAGAGCCGAGAGCCCCAAAAAGTGTGTATTGCATTGTTGACTCCTGAAGCAATGAATTTTTCTCCCAAAGTTTTGAAGAATTCAAGGTACTGCATTTTGTTTAGTATAAAGCGAGGGGGCAATGCACTGCTAATAGGGTAAGATTGTAGGTAAAGCATTGTATGCAGACTGAAGTTGCTTGAAGGAAATTTTCAGCATATGAGCTCACAAAATAGTGTTTCAATTGTCTACGGACTAAATTTCCCGTACCTCCATGTGCTTTGCAGTCAGAATGATTTGTTTTGTAAATTATATAGTTTGGTATAAAAAAGTAGTTTTTATTAGTTAAGTGAGTTTCAGAGATGAGCATCACATCAACTTCATTTTGGTTTAAAAAATTCAAAATTTCTAATATATGTTGGCTTATGCCGTTTGCATTCCATGCACATATTTTTAAGCTACTCATTACATGGCTAAAATCGCTGACATCAATTGCGATTGCATTTGTATTATTATTTGTATTTGTATTATTTGGTTGAACATAGTTTGCATGGTTTGCATGAACTGTGAAAACATCATTTCAAAATTACTGCTTGGAGCTTGTTGTACTGAAGTTTGTTGAACTGGAACTTGTTGTTTCTGTTGGGCATTTAACTTTAATACATTCGCATATGTGACGCCTTGAATCGTCCTGTTTGAAATAGAATCATCGGAAACAGTTGTGTTTGTTGAGAACATATTATTTTTGCGGTCCCGGAGGGCTTGTCTTTTGTACATATATTGAATTTTAATTTGTAATTCTATTTCTCAGTAGCAATCATTTCGCTTGAAATTTATTGCAGAAATTTATTGAAGCTGTTTTTTTTCCAGTTCATATTTTTAAAGATAACAAAGACTAAAAGATAAAAATGGGTAATCTAGTATTTTCCCAGCGAGGGCAAAGATTAATAAACACTTATATTATATATTACAATAGTTCGTAACTATTTCCACAAACTGCAGCTTTAAATTTGTTCTAATTCAAAAGCAACACAAGTGCTGATTTAATATTCTCTTATAAGAAATCATGGCTTGTTTGACTAAAATATATTATGCCTTGGTTCTTAATTTGACAGGTTCATTGTTCTAAGAACCATGATATAGAACAAATAGTCACAGTAATGCTGAGACTCTTCTTGATCATAACTGAAAGGCATATAGAGTCTTATATCACAATTGTGAATTTATTTTATTATTATTTTGTTATGTGTTTTTGTGCCTAAATTAAAAAG